GATTTACATCTGGGTTCTCAATTCTGTTCCATTGGTCAATGTATCTGTCGTTGTACCAGTACCAGGCTGTTTTGACTACTGTAGCTGTATAGTATCACCTAAGATAATTCTTGTCTGCTTTCTAGTTAGTGAATACCCCTCTCCCTCCCTCCCCACCCTTGTAACCACCAAAGAATGTTTTCTTCTGTGTTTAAACCTTTTCTTGAGTTCTTATAATAGTTTTATAATATTTATAATATTTGTCCTTTTGCTACTGACTAAATTCACTCAGCATAATACCTTCCAGATTCCTCCATGTTACAAGATATTTCATGGATTCATCATTGTTCTTTATTGTTGCGTAGTATTCCATTGTGTGAACATACCATAATTTGTTTATCCATTCATCCTTTGATGGGCACCTAGGTTGCTTCCATCTTTTTGCTGTTGTGAACAGTGCTGCAACAAACATGGGTGTGCATATATCTATTCGTGTGATGGCATAAGAAATTTTTTATAAGCAGTGTATTCTTTCTTTTTCTACACAATACAAAAGCAGTCTTTGTTTTATGATGTTGGATGGTTTAATTAATGCAGGTCACCTTCATTTATAAAGAAACCAATGGAGTTTGTTCATGTTATATACTGCACAAACTGGAAGAGTATTTAAATATTTTCATACACATCTGTGAACAACTTGGATTGAACAATAAGAATCAGAAAAATATCCTTAGAATGGCTCAGTATAGATGTATTCATAAAGAAATCTAAAGCTCAATGTTTTCAACCTTACATACCTGACAGTAACAAAAGCTTTGAGAGTGAACTAAAGAGTGAAAAGTGAATAAATACACAGGAATTATTTCTAAATATTGAAGTCCTTTCAGCCTCACAAAATACTTAGAAACAATAGTGGCTTCCAAAATTCATGTTCTCCCATATACTTCTGAGAAATTTTAAAACTGATTAAAATACAGCATAATGAATCAGGCTGTCACCTGGCCATATCTTTTATATTCTCTTTGAAAAACCAAACTATGAAATATTTAAAAAATATTCCAAAATAAAGAAAATAAAAATACTCTCTTTAGCTGTACATAGTACAAAAGGATAGGGATAAAGTAGCAATTTATTGGAGGATCAAAAGTAGTAAATATATAGGTAATGTAGTTACATAGATATGGAGCCCTGGTGGCAGAGTGGTTAAGAGCTTGGTTGCTAATCAAAAGGTTAGCAGCTCCTATAGGAAACCTATGGGGCAGTTCTACTCTGTCCTATAGGGTCACTATGATTTGGAATCGACTCAGTGGCAACCAGTTTGGTTTGGTGTTTTTTGTTTTTTGTTTTCTATGTATATATACACACACACACTCTATCTATCTATCTGAGTATAAATGAGGCTCTCCTCATGAACCGATCTTCCATGATCTCTTGGTATTTATTTGCTTTGGAAATGCACACATAATGGACATTTACCTTGTACCTACAATTATTTCAGTGTGATTCCGGTCCCTAAATCAACTGCAATTTCCCCAAACAAGTTGAAACTTAAGTACTTTTTGAAAATAATCCCAATATTTTAAAATATGTTGTATTATTTACCTTTTCCTTGTTAGATATACTCAGAGTATCTGAGTTCTTGTCCTTGACACCTAAAGTTATTGAATTAGAGGCCTTAGTATGTGATATTCATTTAATAGATATTGACATAATAGGCATCTAATAGTCGTATTGAAATAATGAAATGAATGAATAAATTAGTGAATGAATGAGTAACCAAATGGAAAGATTTAATGCTATACTATAGATCATTGGGAATTATATTTTAATATTTAAAATGTAAAATTTTAGGGAATTATTGTTTTCAACTGTTTTTTTTAAAAAAAAGTTTAGTCTCAGAGTTTATTTCTAAATTATGAATGTTTGCAATGACAATATAACTGCTGAATATTTTATATCAATTATGATCATCTACCACAATCACATGAAGTAAAACAATCACAGAGTTGTTATCCTATCTATGAACCTAATTTGAACAATGACTAAATTCAGGACGCTGTTCTTAACATGAAAGAATTAGAAAAGAGAAGCTTTGCTCATCTGCCTTGTAACTCAGCATATGGAGATTACTGAGGAAGCATAATGGTTACCAACACAGACTTTAGAGCCCAAGAGCCTAGGTTCACTTCTGGCTTTGTGACTTTGGGTGAATTACTGTGTCTCAGTTTTCTCATCTGTAAAATGGAGATAATAATAGACTTCATAGGGGTATTGTGAAGACTAAATGAAGAAATAGCTCTAAAGAACTCAGAACAGTGCTTGACACGTGAAAGACTCTAGTAAGCATTAACTCTTACTGTTTATATGTAGGGAAGCTGGAGCCTAGAGGGAAACAAACTTGTTGGAAAATTCAAGCAAGTAGACAATGGAAATGAGTTGAATACTGTCAGAGAAATTATCGGTGGTGAACTAGTCCAGGTGAGTTATAAAAAGACTATAACTATTTCCCAAAGATAAAATAATTACATAAAAATAAATTTATTTTTGTGGTTGCTGAATTATACCTTCAGTACATAGGCAGTTACTACTTTTTCTTAAATCTTACTAGTTTTAAAAAGATATTTTCTGCTGCCTATTTATTGAAGAGAACTTGCATATACGTCAAAGACATGGATGTCTATTTTAACTGAGTGTTGATGACTACAGAACAAAATACTTCTTAAATAGGTGTATCCTATATGTATATAAAATGTGACTACCTAGTACAAGGAAAACATACTATAAACTCATTTGAAATCTATAATAGTGCTAATATTTTTCCTAATTTAACTTTAATTTTAATGGTAAATCTTCTATCTTTGTTCACACCTTCCAGACTTAGAATATGAAGGAGTAGAAGCCAAGAGGATCTTTAAAAAGGAATGAGAACTGTTCTTGAAGCACAGCCCAGAACACAAATCAGCTAGAAGATGCGCCAGAACTGATTTTCTTTCCCCATCAAGTATACAGTTACTGACTGATTAGTCCTTTTATAAATATTTTATAAGCATTTAACTGGTTAGGATTGTTTTGCATTCCCTAAACTGTACATATATTGATGTTCTAAAAAAATTTGTGATATTGTTTAAAACAGAAAAGTATTGCTCCAAAATTGCTTTGTATGTAGCTGCTCCTATATAAAAAAGAAAAAAAAAAGTTTTGTGACATAAACATTGGTAAATTTTTTTTTTTCTTTTTCCACATTTGGTAAATTAACACCATGGGCTGCATGGGGGTCTTCAAAATCTTGCACTGTCTATGAATATTTTCCTTGTTAATATCTATTATTATAATTGTAATATATGCTCAACCAGAAAACTTAGAAATATAGAAATGCAAATGCAAAATAAATATTCTCATGAACCCATAATCCAAAGATAATCACCATTCTGATTGTAATGAATATCCTCCCAGTCCCCTTCTCTGGGTATAGATACTTTTATGTCCCCATTCATACCACCTTGAATAATATGATAGAAAACAAGTGATTCCCAGACCTCGTTGAACATCAGAATTACCTGAGTAAACTTTAAAAAATTTTGCATTCTTACACCATCTCACTTCAGCATTACTGGCACTAATCAAAAAAACAGAAAACAACAAATGTTGGAGAGGTTGTGGAGAGATTGGAACTCTTATGTACTTCTTGTGGGAATGTAAAATGGTACAACCACTATGGAAAATGATACAGTGTTTCCTTAAAAACCTAGAAATAGAAATACTATACAATCCAGCAATCCCATTCCTAGGAATATCCTAGACAAACAAGAGCTGTCACATGAATATACATATGCACACCCATGTTCATTGCAGCATTATTCACAATAGCAAAAACATGGAAACAACCTAAGTGCCCATCAACAGATGAATGGATAAACAAATTATGGTAAATGCACACAATGGAATACCATGCAACAATAAAGAACAGTGATGAATCTATAAAACGACTCACAACATGGATGAATCTGCATGGCATTATGCTGAGTGAAATAAGTCAATCACAAAAGGATAAATATTGTATGAGACTACCATTATAAAAACCCAAGAAAAGTTTTACACACAGAAAGAAACAATCTTTAATGGTTAGGAGGGAGGGGAGTGGTAGCGTGAGAGGGGAAATTGCTAACTAGACAAATGTTAACTTTGGTGAAGGAAAGACAATACACAATATAGGAGAAGTCAGCACAACTTGAACAAGGCAAAATCACAGAAGCTTCACAGACGTATCGAAACACCTTGAGGACCAAATTACTGGGGCTGAGGGCTAGAGACCATGGTTTCAGGGGATATCTAGGTCAACTGGCATAACACTGTTCATAAAAAAAAGTTCTACATTGTATTTTGGTGAGTGGTGTCTGAGGTCTTAAAAGCTTGCAAGCTGCCATCTAAGATACATTTACTGGTCCCATCCCATCCAGAGCAAAGGAGAATGAAGAAAACCAAAGACAAGGAAACTACTAGTCCAAAGGACTAATGGACCACAAGTGCCAAAGCCTCCATCAGCCTGAGCCCAGAAGAACAAGATGGTGCCCAGATACCACCACTGACCACTCCGACAGGGATCACAACAGAGAGTCCCGGACAGAGTGGGAGAAAAATGTAGAACAAAATTCAGTTTCATAAAAAAAGATCAGACTTACTGGTGTGACAGAGACTGGAGGAACCTCTGAGACTATGGCCCCCAGACACCCTGCTAACTCAGAACTAAAGCCAGTCCCAAAGTTCACCTTCCGCCAAAGATTAGAAAGGCCTATAAAACAAACAATAACACAAGTGAGGAATGTGCTTCTTAGTTTAATCAAGTATAGGAGACCAAACGGGCAACACTTGCCCAAAAGCAAAGACAAGAAGGCAGGAAGGGACAAGAAACCTGGACAAATGGACAAGGGGAACCTGGAGTGTAAAGGGAAAGGGGTAGAGTGCTGACACATTGCGAAGATTGCAACCAATGTCACAAAACAATTTGTGTATAAATTTCTGAATGAGAAAAAAAATTATTTTTGCCTTCTTAATCTCTGCTGTTAACCTACTAAGTAAGAATCTTTGAAAATAGAATCAGGGATTTTAGAAAATTTCCAGGTGATTCAAATACAGCCCGTCCACTAACCAGTCTTTGGGAACAACTGGGCCATCAGACACCAAAAATGTCACTTTTAATTTTTTTAAAAAAATACATAAACACATCCACTGCCGCTTGCAAGGGCCCCAAAAGTTTCCTTTTAGTTGTATTCTCACATGATGTACTATTTCATGTGTTTCAAGCAATTAAGTTTAATGAGGGTGTATATTAGAGGGTATTCCCTGCATAGTGCAAATGGTTAGTGCAGTTAACCGAAAAGTTGGAGGTTTTAGTCACTCAGAGGAGCCTCAGAAGAAAGGCCTGGCAATCTATTTCCATAAAACAAGCCACTGAAAACCCGATGGAGCACAGTTCCACTCTGATACACATGGAGTCACCATGAGTCAGAATCAACTCAACAGCAACTGGTAAATATTAGGGGGTGAAGAGGGAGGTCAATTCTTTCAGCATTTGCAATTTTATAGACTTTTGTTTTGATATTTTCTTTTTCATGCTGATGTAAATAATAGCTAGCATTTATATAGTTCTTTTCATATGCCAGACACTGTTCCAAGAGGTAAACACATATAACAGATACATTACAATGTGGGAAGAAAAACGTTTGCGTACGTGACGAAAATGAATAGACGAGAGAATATAGAACTTTTGCCAAAACAAAAACAAACTTAAATATAGTGTTTATTATATAACCTCATAAAAATCTTCACATAGGAAATAGTAATTATTTAGATTTCACATGATTTTTAAATAAAAGTTCGAAGTACTTTGACGTATCTAATCTTACTTGCCCATATATCTCTGTGAAATAGGAAAAAAAGCAAGTATTAATAATTTCATTTGAAAGTTGAGAAACTAAGGCACAAAAAAGTCTATTAGCTTTTCTAATGTAGTAGAGAGTCCATAATGAACACAGGAATTACATGTAGGTTTTGACTTTCAGTCTAGTATATCATGATCTATGCTATTACTCAGCCTGTTATAAACAAAAATATCTTAAGAAAAAAAGTCCCTTTAAGTTCTTAGTGGCACCCAAGAATAGCAAATGAGTCAGGTCAGACTGTAAAATAATGGCAATTAAGGGTCAGGCGCTTATCTATTTCTAGCCCTATCACAGGCTCACTCTTTTCACAATTTAAATCCTTCTAGTATTACATTTCCATTACTTATTAGTATTGGACAGTAGCCTATTATTTGCTAAGTGACTGCCATTTCCACAACTCCTTTCTGGGAAAAGTGACCTTGTCATGATGCCACCCTGATTGGCCAGGAGAGGGAGCCTGACCTAAGAACAGCCGATTTACCACATGTTGGTCAGCTTATGAGCGCTGCGCAGAAGACACAATAGCAACTGACTGAATCTAAAGAACTCTTTTTAGGGTGTTTAAATTTGAGAAATACAGAGGTAGTAGTTAGTAGTAAAGAAAAAGAGTTAAAGAGGACCAAGAGAGCAGGTAGTAAGTAGAAGTCATGAGTACACAAAACAATAAGAGAAGTAGAAGCCATAGGGTAGATAGCAAAACAGACAGGCAGTTAATTAGAAGCAACTGGAGCAGAAGAAGCCAAAATACTTTCACATGAAATATGGCATCTGCTATTTGCTTCAAATTAGAAGAGTCCCCAAGACCATTCAGAGCTGACCAAAAATAAGACCAATGTTAGGGAAATATGGACTAACTCTGGCTTACTAGAATCCAGGAATGATGTAGTGAAAAGAGAATGAGTTTTAGAACCAAACAGACTTGCCTAAACTCTCTGTCTTTCTGCTTACTAACTAAAATTCAAGATCTAAGCCTCAACTTTTCTCACTTGAAAAATGGAGAAAACAGTAATGGTTTCCTGAGGTTGTTTTAATTAAGGTATTCTATGTAAAACATCTAGCATGGTGCCTACCATATCCCCCCCGCAAAAAAAACCAAACCCACTGCCGTCGAGGCGATTCCGACTCACAGCAACCCTATAGGACAGAGTAGAACTGCCCCATAGAGTTTCCAAGGAGTGGCTGGTGGATTCAAACTGCCTACCTTTTGGTTAGCAGCCATAGCTCTTAACCACTACACCACCAGGGTTTCCACCTACCATATAGCTGGTAATTAATAAATATAACACACATAGGAGCCTTTCTCTTGTACAGAAAATGGAGCAAAGTGTGTTTTGAGTAAATGGGAAAACTCTTTTCCCAAAATATCCCTGACCGAGCCAGTGTGGTAGAGAGTCTTGACCTGGTAGATGAGAACTCTTAGTTCCAGTATGCATCTCCTTGGAACTTAGTGCAATCATCTTTAAAATGAGGGGTAGGGACTAGATCATCTCTAAATTCCTTCACTAAGATTCTGTGATGTCTGAAAACATTCAGTGATTCTTCCTTTCTGTTCAAGCATCCTTTTTGGTGTGTGTCACAGGGTACTGGAATGACAGAGAGTGGGCAGAGGGCCGAGATAGCTTTTAAATTCCTTAGAGCTAGCTTTGTGGGCATATAACCTGTACAGTCACACGGGGCCCCACACTCAGAAGGGCCCTGTGCTTAGTTTAACGCTCTGCTGTTGCTGTCTTAAAATTCTCAATGATTTTTGAACAAAGATTCCTGCGTTTTCATTTCACACTCGGCCCTGCAAATTATGTGGTCAGTCCTGTTCCTAAGAGCTGACTATTAATAACGATAACAGTTTCCTTTAAGCAATAAAGAGACTGGCAGCAAGACATCGCTGGGCTCCTAAGGAGAGGTGGATGGATGCGTGGAACGGAAGTAGAAGGGGAAGGGTTTGCGGGGGAGGCGAGACAAAGAAGGGGGTAGATAGACACTTCAAAC